AATAGAGTCTTAAATGTTTCTAAAACTATTTTAGAGAAGTTTGATTATATTTATCATGATAGAACTTTTTTCTATCGTGATAGATTTATTTTGGAATTTGAAAGAAAGAAGTTGATTCTTTTAACCATAGAAAGTTTTCAATTAATTAGTTTATTCTTTTTGTACTATAATTAGTTTTTATAAACAATTTTCATTCTTTTTATCATGATAATCTCTTAAATACATGTTTAAAACTTTAATTTTATTATCATGATAAGGTTGCTTAAGTTTTCGAATTAATTGGGGAGAGTGTTACACATGACCTGTCTATTATCATGAAAATGCCCAATCAAAAATATTGGATTATGTATTGTGAAAACATAAATATTGTCTTTTTTATATTGAATGATCAGTTGTGAAAGATAAAAGTTAAATTTTTATATGTGGATATTTTCTTATATTAATTTGTTCATTATAGGCTCACACAAGAGATGAATTATTTTGATCAATTTCAAATTTTTGCTTGTGAATATGACTTTTACTTATAAATATTTGAACTTGAATTCGTCAACGTGTGAATATTTTCTTGTTAATATGTGAACTTGCAGTTGACAAAATCCAAGTAATTAATTTATGTGATGTAATAGTTGTTGACATTGATTGCATTGCTAATTTGTTTGGGTGTATAAAATAGTTAAGGAGAAACAACCAAAAAAAAGATCCATCCTTTTATGAGATGGCATGAATTTGACTTAAATCTTTAAAATGTGAACATGTAATTGTAAAAATGGAATTTACTGTCACCAAACCTTCATTGTGAATATCTAAAGTTATAAGGACTTTAGCTTATAAATAGCTTAACATCTACTTGTGAATATTTGAATATTTAGTTGTAAATTTGTAAGCTTTGCCAACACATGAACTTGTCAACTCTCAACAAAAAATTTACTATTTAAAAAGGTATGGAGTTACTCAGAAAATGGACAATCACTTGTTAATGTGTGAACCTAGTGTTGTGAATATATGAACATGTAGTTATAAAAATAGGAATTTGCTATCACTGAGCTGTGAATATCTAAAGTTAAAAACTATAGACTTTGACTTGTAAATAGTTGAACATATACTTAAAAAAACTTATTCGTTTATTTATAAATTTGTAAGCTTTGTCAACATATCAACTCTAAACCTTTGCTTGTTAAGATATAAACTTTTACTTATAAACATATAAACTCGTACTTCTAAATATCAAGCCTTTAAATTATAAATTTATGAACTTCACTAATTTGTGTAGGACTTTGATGACTGTGAACATCATGTCATTATGTGGATTAAAAGTTGGAACACTACTGTGAATGTTGATAATCTTCCATTTACATGCTTGAATATACAATCTAAGAACTATTGAGCATTAGGTGTGACATTTTGTGCTCACTAGCAAAGCATTCCAATAATGTCAGAGCTTATAGTGCCCTTACACTTATAGCAAGAGCCAAAGCATTAGAATGTAATTAGTATTACTATTGGATTATGTCTTTGCTATCTTAAGTTAGTTTTTTGTATATAGAATTGGTTTTTTGGTAAATGGATGTATGGCAAATACTGTAGTGTATGCTTGAAAAATACTTGTTATGATGTGAATGAAATTATTTACAATGAAAAGTACAAGTTTCACAAGTTTATGAGCAATATAAAGCCCATAACGTGACACGTCTATTTATTAACAACGTAATGTTCATTTATTTTACATGATCCATGTGGTTAAGTTAAACATTTATATAAGTTTCTCAAGTTTATGAATAATATAAAGTTTATATATAACATGAGATGGTCCATTTGTTAACAATACAATGCATAATTATTTCACATAGTTCGCGTAGTTAAGTTGAACATTAATTTATACAAGTTTCTTGGGTTTATAAATAATAGAAAGTCTGTATATAACATGACATAGGTCATTTATAAACAATATAATGTCTATTTATTCCACATAGTTTGTTTAGTTAAGTTGAACATTTGCACAAGTTTTCAAGTTTATGAACAAAGGAAAATTCGTATATAACATGACAACATCTATTTATTGACAATATAATGTCCATATATATCAGATACTTGAACATATACAAGACTGCAACATTTATACAATATAAACTCGTAGATAACAACATGCTTTAACATTTACATTAGATTTGGATAATTTCATGCTAATATCGGCCATTCTACTGAAATAAGTATCAATGTGAAATTTTACATCACATTTCATACTTGGTATGTACAAAAAGTGAGAACCTATGTCCAAAACCATAAAAGATTATTGGTCCATATACAATCAAAAAATAACTGCTACTTGCAAGCATTCATTCATGGAACAAGGGTAGGAAGGCATTAGATGGCTGAACTATCTTCTACAATGGTTGTTGGCATGCTTTCTCTAAAGTAAGGTACTATCCCAATACTATGAAGACAGAGAACTTTCATATGAGAATGCCAATAAATGATCTATCGTGTATTATTAAATTATTATCACATGATTGAAGCTTTGCATTAAATAACTAAATATTTAAGATAAATAAGTTAATGTTCATTTTTCATGTCACATGATTCAGTGTTTCTAAATATGGCATTCTCATGATATTAAAAAGGTCATGAATTTCTCAATTCACATAAATGTGCACATTTACTCTTGCAGATCATCTATACATGCATCCTATGCCATTAAACTCAAACAATTGTTATATCTAACATAATCTACAAGATATATTAATGTGTCTGAATTAATGTCAATTGTGAACTTTATGTCACTTTCGTTGTCTCCACGACAAACTTTTAATAATATAAATGACCTAAACTCTGCATACATCATTCATTCTATCATGGTTATTGTAATTACATCCTCACCCTCATACTCTGTACTACTCTTAACAGTGCTCACAAACTAACACCCACGATGGAAGAAACAAAACAAATTGTTTGTAGAACTACTTGTCGTCTCTTGTATTAATCTAAAATGAATAAATTAGATTAAGAAAAATATCCACATACATAAAACCAATTATTTTACCCAACTAAACATTTAATATAAGATAAGCCAATGTTCTTGTTTTCACAAAAAAAAAAAACTAGTGTTTCTAGTAGGGCATTTTTATCATATTGAATAAATTTGAATTCCTCAATTCACATGCAAAGATCCAATATGAATAGGTAACAAACATAATTTCACAATAAATATTCCAATTCAACACATTCAAAACCAACTTACGATTCAGCAATTAAGTCAGATTATAATAGGAATTAAATCACAATAGAATGTCTGATTTCAAGACCATTACAGTGCATTTTATACCATAGATAATCTATCACGTACACACCCTATTACTTCATGTAAAATCCTCATTAATTGCAACTATTTTTACATTATATCAGAATCAAAAGGTTGAATCCTTATCAACATTTAGCAAGAAACTAATATGCAAGAAAACTACCCCATTTAAACCAATCATTTCAACTTACCTTACTAGGCTTATGCAGACAAGGGACTTTCACTTATGTCATCAAGCTCCTTTCTCCAACTTTAGCTATTTCTTATTTCAACAGAAAAATGAATGACCATAACATTAGTCACAACATACCACGATATGTAGAAAAATTTACACACTGTCACTAGTTAAAATGGATGCATTTTGACTTTCACCCACCTTGCGAGTTAGTCTAGTTAGAATTGAAGTTGGGATAGTTACAATCCATGTAGTTGGCTACCTTCTTCCTTCTTCACGTGCCTTTGTCTTCTCTAATTCTAGCTCATTCTCTTTCTCATTCATTAAGGGTAGATGCATCTTTTTCCTCACTAAAACATGATTGCATCTAAAGTCATCAGGCTTGCAGAATAAATTTAAAATATATTGAGCCTTAATTGCAAATTACTCTAATATAGAAAACCCTAGGTGCAATTCTCCTTAATTTTATTTTTTTAATCAAACTAGATGTGAACCCTTGTATTTTACCCAAAAAAATGGGCGAGTCATGTTATTTGGTATACCACATACAATACATGATCCCTTTTTTTAGTCATTAACATATCACATGAAATGAGTTTTACTTTACAAGGTTCAAATTATGAGTGTTTTTAGATTTCAATTAGAAAAAATTAACTAAAAAGAATACATATTTGGATAAGATTTTTTGAAATTAATCTTGTAAAATTGATTTACCAAATGAAAGAAAATTTAGCTTCTATAAAATGAGATTTCAAGCACTAAATGAAATTTGAAAAAAATAAAAAAAATATTTAGCTAAATTTGATAAGGAGAATCACATTCAAGGACTCTTTAAGAAAATTATTCACAAATAAAGACTAATACAAAATGAATTGTTATTAAAATAAAAATATAATTTATTTTTTAAATGAGACTTATTGTTAATTTTTATTTATGAATAATTTTTTTAAAAGGTCTTTGAATGTGATTCTCCTAATTTTATAAAATGAAATTTCAAAACCAAATAAACTTAAAAAAAATTAGAAGTGTTTAAATGATTTTTTTCTAAAAAATTTTAAATTTCATAAGTGATTCTAGGGACATCAACAGGTCATACGTGGCTTCGAACTGCTGCGACGGTGACATGAGCGTCCAATGTGTGTACACGTGTTGAGTAGCAATAGGCCCAGCCCAAATTTGTATTTGCCGCGCTTGCCATCGGTGGGGTCAAAACTCTAAACCATCAAATACCAGCTGTTGCTTCGGATTTTGCCATCTTCCCCTAGGTATTCCTAACCTTTCAAGTTTCAACCCCACACTTCGCTTTCACTGCCCAAACCTCTAATCCGAACCAAAACTCATCCCTAGCCTCCCTCCATAGCTTATGCTTGCCATAAGGCCCACCTTCCCCTCTACTATCACCTGCAGATAGACAACCAGATTATTATAGCAACTTCATAATTAAATACCAATTTCCTCAAGTCACGCCTTATTTGCTTCCGATTCTCCTTCTCCATTTCTATATTCTCTTCCGACGATCGCATCCCCCTGCTTAATTCACGTTATCTCCTACCAAGCTGTCCCTTCCGCCATCCTTGCTGCTTCTTCGCCGTTATCGTCGTAGCTCAAAATCACAGACCTGTTGTCGGGACAAAGATCCGAGTCCGAACGCGAAGGTCTTGGTTCCTTGCTGGTTCTGCTTACCGCCTGGTATTGATCATTTCTACTCTCTGATTGTCGCATGACTATAACGACTTAGTTTGTTTGAGAACCACTTTTCAAGCTTCCCTGGATCAGCTTCCTCGAAATCTCTCCTCTTGGGTATTTTTTCCCGCTGAAGTGGATTTTCGGGAATTCGAGGGTGGGGGTACTCTGAAACCTGGTTCGAGCTTGAATGTTCGGTTTAAACACCTTCGAAGCTCCTTCACATGCCTCAACCCCTTAATTTCGACCTGTCTTTCTATTGACCCACTTCATTATTATTTACTATTCGACGTTGACAGATAGACCCATCTCGAGACACTATTTTTCTGTCTTTCTTAATAATGGTAAAGGTGGACTGCTGGGATCTTGTACGCCAGGAAATATTAGCCTAGTATCTTCCTGGACTCAATTCCTCAAACAAATCAATATCTAGTAGACAAGTTCGCTTTAAATTCGCTTTGCTTCCGGTTTGAAAAGCTGAAAAATCCCTTAGGTCAAAAAAGTTCTAGCGCTTTTCATCCCATCACCTTATATCTCTTGTTATTTTTTTAAATAAACCAAACTGTTGATTTGTCCTTCGGGTCCATTGAAATTTAATGCACAAGTACCTGGTTCACGTGTAGGGATGAAGCTTAATTGCTTTCATTCTGAGGGCCATAAACCGCTGATCTCTGGGTCATAGGACTGGATTCGGTGTATGTAGGCTTATGATCGTATTATCGTAGTAATAGGTTGCTGGAATTAAAATTTGGATCTCCCATGCCAACTTCCGAGGATCCGTCTTCGTCTCGATCTTTGACTCTGACATCCATACCGGCTCGAGATATTGATCCCTTGTTGAAGGATTTAAATGAGAAAAAGCAGAGCTTTAGGCGCAACGTCGTGTCATTAGCTGCAGAGTTGAAGGAGGTTAGGAGCCGCCTTGCATCACAAGAGCAGTCATATGCTAAAGAAACCCTAACAAGACAAGTACGATAATCCCTGTGCTATTCTTTTTCGATTGCTTTCTGTCTTTTTGCACCTTTGAACCCTTGTCTTCCTCTTGATTTCAATAATTTCTCCTTTTGGAGTCTTTTTGTTGGTGGGGCTCGCAGTTAGTCACCTATTTTATTTGGGTAATTTTGTTGGGGTATTTAATCACAGGAGGCAGAGATGAAAGCCAAGAACATGGAAGAGGAAATTGGTAAATTGCAGAAAAGATTAGAAGAGAGAAACGATCAGCTTCATGTTTCTGCCGCTGCTGCGGAGAAGGTTATAATCATGTTCAATTTATTTAACGTTTTCTCTACATCTTTTTATTTCCTTTCTCTCTGATTAGTAGTGTCACTGTTATATTTAGTTTCTTGATTTTAAATCATCACATGTCTCTCAAATTATGTCGTTCGATTTCTCACATTTTATTCAGATTATCTCATTCAAATACTCCAACTTCACGACCCATCTTCTACTCCAATTTTTTCGACTTTTTCTCTGGTTTAGACGGAGCCCATGAAATTAAAGGGCGTCTGACTTCTTTTATATAATTTTTATTAATTTTGTCATTATTTTAAGAATGTTTTTGTTTATGACATTCTAATTCCTGTAATGTAGAACGTTGATTGTTTTACTATATTATTAGAACTTAGAAGCAACCTTGCAAATTTAGATATGCTGGGAGCGGTTCATCATTGCTTTTCTTGGCTGGAAAGGCACTGAGGTGAACAATTCCCTTGATTATATTAATCCGGGTCTGGATATGATTTTCCGGTATGATAGTCTACCACTTGTTTTTTTTTTTTTAATCTGTATTTTTTTGCACCGCTTGATGTTTTATCTGTATAAGTTTAAGGAATTTAATTCTAAATTCTAAATTCTAATGCTATTGGCGGAGCCAAGTATTATACATCTTTAATGACCTGACATAATTATTACTATAAATAACTAAAATTCAACTTGTGATTTTGTGTTACGATAGCTTTGCATACTTCATTTCTGCTGTGCGAGAATCCCGAGTTTCAAATTTGCTTCACAGAGGAAGTTTAATTATTTCTTCCTTTGATTTTAATTTAATAAAATGATGTGTTGAAATTTAGGAATTAAATTGATTGATGCGTCTAAAATGGAAAATTTGATGTGCTACGGGGACTAGTGCTGTCTGAAATTAGTAATTTTTGGCACATTGGCCGATGGCAAGTTAATACACTTTTGTTTGTTACATGCAATGATATACTATGCCCATTTCTGTTATGATGATTTCATAAAGATTTTGATTGAGTGATCGTAAAATGTTTCTCTTTTCTCTCGTGGACTTTGCCTTTAGCTACTTAGATGCTAAGTTCAACGGAGAAGCTTCGGTGTAAAATATACTGCATTTGAATATGGTGGCAACTTTTTATTCTCAACATTGAAAGAATTTACAGAGGATCTTAGTGCATATTCAAAACCTCCCCCCCCCCCGGCGCACGGCTTTGCTTGGATGCTACCTTAGAAGCACATTTGTCTACCCCAAGCATTAACACTGTTTCCATTTATCCCTAAATATATTATGTAATACTCATGCAGTATCTGAAGGACTTGGATGATCTTAGAACACAGTTTGCAGCAACAAGAGCAACGGCAGACGCAAGTGCTGCATCAGCTCAATCAGCACAGCTCCGATGTTTGGAACTTGTAAAGAGTTAGATGAGAAAAATAGTTCACTGAAAGAGCACGAGGATCGCGTAACTAGGCTGGGAGAGCAGCTAGATAATCTACAGAAGGATCTTCAGGCAAGGGAATCCTCGCAAAAGCAATTGAAAGATGAGGTCCTGAGAATTGAGCGTGATATCATGGAGGCAGTTGCAAATGCTGGAGCAAACAAGGACTGTGAACTGATGAAGATATTAGATGAGGTTTCTCCGAGGAATTTTGAGAAAATAAACAAGCTCCTGGTAGTTAAGGATGAAGAAATAGCGAAACTAAAGGATGAAATTAAGATTATCTCTTCTCATTCGAAGCTCAAAACTAAAGAATTAGAATCTCAGGTAAACAAGCCATTCGTTCTCGCCTCTTGTTCATTAATTCAAGGGTTTGTTTTCTTGCTTTTGTATTTAAGGACGTTGATCTTTTTTGAAGCACAGTTAGAGAAACAGCGGCGTGCCGATCAGGAACTGAAGAAAAAGGTTTTGAAGCTGGAATTCTGTCTGCAGGAAACTCGTTCTCAGACACGGAAACTACAGCGGGTATAGCTAAGCTTTTCATTTCTTCTGTCCTTTTCTTTTCGCCAGAATCTGGATTTAGTAATGAAACACAATTAGAAACACGATTCGTGAATTTACATGAATGCCCTGAATTGTTTGCTCACCTGTGGCGATGCTTCAATTTACGCTCATGATCTAACCCCATTTACAGAATACCCTCACAGAATAAAAAGACAGGATATTAGTAACTAATTTATAGTTTGCAAAAAAATATTAATTAAAACTTTAATTTTTTTAAAAAAATTACATCTGTCTAAATTTATTTTTATTAAATATTCTATATAAGTATTTTGATAATGATAATTAAAATTCTAATGCTTTTTTTTTCAAAAAAAAAATAAATGAATTAGAGATATAGTTGAAAAAATAATTATAAAAGTTATATAATGTTTTATATTTTGGGCCAAATAAAATTTATAAAAAATGTTCTAAGTTGTGTTTGGACGGAGTATATCTCTTGCAATGCATGTGTAGGCTTGCTAGTCAAATGACAAACTTGTATGCGATTGTGGACAGATGGGGGAGAGACGGGACAAAGCTATAAAAGAATTGAGAGATCAATTAGCAGGAAAACCGCAAAGTGGAGTCGCGGGTGGGGAAAAGCAAAACCAGAATTTCTGGGAAACCTCTGGTTTCAAAATTGTGGTCTCCATGTCTATGCTGATCTTGGTGGCATTCTCAAGGCGGTGAAAATAGTCCCCCGATCCAATGATTGTTGTATATATACAATCTAAAGGCCTTCTAAATTCATTGAAGAAAATAGGAGAAGGCCTTTTTTCTTGTAGAGTTACAGGTTTAGTTTAGATATTACCGAGTTTGTAGCATCAGGATGCCAACGTTTTTTTGCTGTGTTCTGTAAAGCCATTAAAATAGTGGTACTAGGTTAATTTACTTTTTTCACCCTCATGGCCATCAGTCAATTTAATATCATCAATGTCAATGTCAATATATATGGTAAACACAATATCAAAGCAGATTTACAATATTTTGAATGGCATAGTTCACTAATGTTTTTGTTTAAATTTGATTAAAAAATTAATTGATGAGTATTTTGTTAAAAAAAATATAGATGTAGGACCCATTAAAAAATTGAGTATGGGACTTATCATTTGAGAAAAGTAAGGTCAATTTAGGACCCATAATTTAATTAATAAAATTTATTTACATTGGATGAAAATTTTTTGCCATGTATATTTTTATTTATAAATGTAAAAAATTAGATAAGATGTAAAAAGAATATGATTTTTTTTCAATTTTAAAAATCATGTGAGAGAGTAAAAATTTGTGGCAGATAATAAAAAAAACTATTATATATATAGTGAAATTATAAATTTTATTTAGATAGAATATAAAAAGTATGTAGGTAATCTAATAAGTTTTACTTCAAAATCTAATTTACTTGAAATAAAAATTAAACTAAATTAATCAAAATAACAAATTTTAAATAAAATATTTTGTTACTTTTAATTTTGTATGTATAAGATAATAAAATGTAGAATAAAATATAAAACTAAGTGACAAATTAATTTTATACGTAAATGATAATAAATTATAGAATAATATTCTTTAATTTTAATTTCAACTTTAAAAGAATATATGATTTAAATTTTTTGAGGGTAATTTGAATGATTTTTAAATAACACTTAGTCCCTTTGATCTTATTTATAGACTAAAAAGAAAATATTTTTTATCCTATTTATAAGTTACATAATTAAGTTTTCATAACAATTTTTTTTCTTTTAACCTTCGTTTAATGTTAGAGAGAAAAATATGTTATTAAAGCATATATATTTGATAGGGGTAAAGTTTAAAACTTATTAAATTTTTAAATAAGAGTTAATAAATTTTAAAAATTTTCTTGATTTTGAAAAAACATGTTTAAAATGATTTAAAAATAGGATTAGATGGGTGTATTTAAAAAGGGACTAAAATGAAAACTTGTACAAAATTAAAAAATTGAAGAAATATTTTAGCTGATTTTTAGAATAGAAGAGAGATATCTGAAATATATATATATATATATAATAGTAAGATCATAATGCGATATCTAATGACAACACATGTACCTAATTTTGTTTGCTTTATTTAATTTAAAATAAATAAAACTATCTTGTTATCAAATATCTCTTGGTTATGTCAACTTCCCATTTACTTATTCATCATACTTTTAAAATTTTAATTTAAAAATAATAAATAAAATTCCAATTTAAAAATAATAAGGAAATTATTCCAACTTTCTATTAACTTATTTATTTATATTTTAATTTTTAATTTAAAAATTATAAGAAAATTATGTATCACAAGCAACATCCGATAACGCAAGGTGTCTCTAATTCTATTTTACATTATTTTTTTGATAAATAAAACCACATCACCACCAAATATCTCTTCATTATCTTAACTTCTCATTAACTTATTTATTTATAATTTCAAAATTTTTAATTTTAAAATAATAAGAAAAATATGTAATCATAATTGAAAATGACATGTGTCTCTAATTTTATTTTGCTTTATTTATTTTAAAATATTTTTTTGTGGAAAATCAAACTAATATGTATTAAAAGAGACAAAAGTTAAATAATTACATGCAAATGTCATATCCTCTTGATTGAAGTAAAAAACTAAGGTGAGAAGCTGCAAATATAATAAAATAGGTCAGCCTCAATAGCAACCCATAAAGATCTTGAATGATAGGATTGGGAGTTTGCCTTTTGATTGATTTAGAGCCAACAAAGTCTTGCTTGACGCAGCAGATCTTAATCTCCTCTTATTAGATGAGCAATAATTGACGATCCACCAAAGTCCAGACATAAGCTCGAAAAGATATTTGTTTCTTCAGTGGACTATTTAAAAATTAAAACATTAAAGACAGATGAATCATGTATCACACAAAAAGTTTGTTTCTCCACTTCTCACAAGTGTTGCACCATGTCAAGAAGATCTTGACCAACCAAATCCCAATATTTTTGAAAGAAGTGAGTGTGATATCCTGCTGGTCCAGGTGCACTATATTTAGATAAACTGATAAACTAAAGACATCATGTTTAACCTCTTCAAGAGATGGCACAGCAGATAAGCATTCATGGTAAGATTGAGCGATTTGAGGTAAATGTAAGAAACTCATATCATCCAACAGTTCCTGAGTGGAATTAGAATCTAGACTTATTCATAGTTTAATAATTTTAATTTAAATATAACAAATGAAATTTAAAATTTTAATTTATATCTTATCTAAACATGTAAAAGTAGAACCAAGAGTTCTTTCACAATGACACGTGTTATTTTTATTTTTTAAATAAAAAAATTCCACATCCCAAATTATTTCTTCAATATCTCAACTTCACATTTATTCATAATTTTAAATTTTAGTTTTGAAAATAAATATCTTTAAAACGGTGAAAAGCTACCTTCTATTATTTTTTTTAACTGTAAAAAACCACTTCACATTTTCTTATATATTTAATTTAATGAACAACTACTTTTTCATAAAGTCAAGATCTTATGACAAATGTCCACTCTTATTTGAAAAATAAAATATAAAATTAGCTCACCTCCAAATATTTCTCTATCATCTCAACTTCCCATTAACTTATTTATAATTTCAAATTTAAAAATAATTATTTTTAAAATTGTCAAAAACTACATCCCATTGTCCTCTTAAATGGTTACAAACCATCTCCTATTTTCTTATATTTAATGCAAATTGCTCTTCCATGAGGTCAAGATCTCAAATTGTGTAACGGGTTGTGAAATTTTCCTTTCCTTCCTCTTTCTTCCTTTTCTTCTTCCCTTTCCTGCAACTCTTAACAATTTTCCCTCTCTTCCCTATTTGTTTTCTCAAGCAGTATTTTTCTTCTGGTATGTTATGATTCTTTCCATTATAGATTTGTTGTTGTTCAACAAGTGCATAATTGTTTCAATGCTCTACAATTGATTTGTGGTTGAATTTCATGTTTCAATTGCGCCCACATTCTTCTTTTCTTTTCTTTTTTTCCATCAGTACATGTCCTTTGCATTATTCTTCAGTCACATGAGTGAAAATTAGCAAAAGCAACTTCGAATGAGCCAAACCCGGCACTTATATATACTTCTTTTTTGGGTTAAACAATCATTTGAATTTAACAAATAGATGGTTCATTGAAGCATGCATTTATCATGTCAAGATAAAGCAACGTGTCCTATTTCAACGCACCTGCATCCACTAAATAGAATTCCTAAGTAAAAGATAAAAACATATGGAAGTAAGTGTCGTTTTGAACCATTAGAGTCACGTTATTTAGATAGTGGAGTTTAGATAATCTTCCTCTACATCTAAAGGCGTGATGTTGTCTTTTAAATATAGATTAGAGGAATTTGAGGATGTTCCGACAAGGCAAAGCAATGATGGGTTCTGAATGATGAGAAAATTGTACTCTTTTTTATTGTTTGACTCTTAAAACATTGGTTAGATCAGCGTTTAAACATAAATGGGTATACGGTATATAATTGGTAACTTTAGTTGTTAGTTTTTGCTAATTTATAGTTTCATTTATGGATTTTATGGCTTCTTTGAGCGTGGGTTAGAGTAGCATAAAGCAATAGTTAAGATATCGAAATATGACCTGCTTATGCAATCAGAGAGTATCCATCAAAATATCAAACTTAGACAAGAATTCTAGCAAGCTATATGCACCATATGCAACAAGGAGGTGCGAATTTTATGCTTGGGTTACACCCAAAAATGAAGAAGCTAAAGCCGCTAACAGAGAAGTTTTTAAACTTGACATGGTTATTTTTAATCACGCAGTCTTTTCTTAAATTTTAATGGGATTAGCAATACACAAATCACAAAAATGTGACTCTAAGTGACCATATTCATTTAATTATTTTGTCTTGTCAATGAACAATTTGTCCAATAACATACTCTCTTCATTCAAAAATATAAAGTATTTTTTAAGGAGTTGGATGTTCAAATATATAAGACATTTTTAATTTTTTGAAATATAATTATTGTCTTTTTTAAATTGGCTCTATTGATAATAAATTTTTATTTATTATAAAGTATTTAGTAGGGTGAATATGAAAAGATAAGTTTAATTTGAAAGTAGATAATTACTTTATTAAGGGGTGAAATTTAATTAAAAATGCTTTACATTTTTAAACGAAGGGAATATTGAATGGGAATGATGGATCCATAAATCATTAGATTACTTCTATTTTTAAGGAATATTTTTTAACTCCACTCAATCCATATATTTTTCTCAATCCAAATATAAATAAAAGATTTGATAATAATATTTTTTTAATTTTTTCTTTTAGAAATATAATCCTTTTGAGGATACATTAGATGACCCACTGTGCTATTTCTTTTGAGAAATTTGTAAAAGATTTTGTTCTTTTGCTTAGCACTTTTACTGCTAGAAAAATTCTTCAATTTAAACTTGATGTGGGGTTTTTCAAATTGTAGTGATATGTTAAATTTGGTGTCCCAATCATGTTCACAAAAACTATTCATAAATATTTTTTTTAATTAGAAACCCACCAAAACCAAATTTAAATATTATAGTGAAATATTATCCAAATATCTATAAAGTTCAATTTAAAATCAATTTGTAGTATCCCTAAATTTAGTTTATGAATTAATTATTTTTTCTAGTAACAACTCATTCTATATGTTAAATAAATCTCATAATTTATTTCAATTATTTTTTAAAATTTTCATATCCTCTGGATAGCACAAGTCATCATAGAAGAGAGGGTAAAATAAAAATTGTTCCTTAAGTTTTAAAGAAAAATGAGTATATGTAGGACCCATAGTAAAGAAAAGTAAGTGTGGGATATATCATTAAAGAAAATATAGGGTGAATGTGGAATTCATAATTTAATTACTAAAATTTATTTACACATAGAGAAATTTTTTTGATATATATATAATTTCAATTGTAAATTTTAAAAATTTAGACAATGTATAAAAAATAATAAAACTTTTATATTTTAAAAGATCACGTAGGATTATAATAAAATTGACACTTGATGCAAAATTTTAAAAAAATAATATATTGGTGTTAGATACACAATAAAATTAAAAAAATATTTAGATAAGGTATAAAAAGTACATAGATAACCTGATATGAGTGATGAGTTTTATTTCAAAATTTAATTTACTCAAAATAAAAATATAAATAAAATAAAATATTACTTTTAAATTATATATATAAGATAATAAATTATAGAATAAAATATAAAGGTACTTGTTTTAAAAATAATTTAAAATTATTTCATTGAAATTATAAATTATAAATAAAAATATGCATAAATTATTTTGACTAATCTATCTCTTAATATATTAAATTCATATTCCATTAGGTAACAACAACAAAAATCACATTCCATAAAGTTTTTTTTACATACTTGAAATATTATTTTAGAAAATTTATATATTTAAATTTTTAAAATAATAAATAAATAATTTTTGTAACTATTAAATTTAAAAATGAATAAAAATTTAAAATAATATATCATTTAAAAATTTTGGGGGTAACATGAATAATTTTTAGATAACATTTATATTTTAAAAAATTATTTTGATCCAACATATATGATTTAATTATCAACTAATACTTGAATGGATGAAAATAAAAACTTAAAAATAAAAAAAACATTTATATTTTGCATCTATTGATTTTAAGAAAAGTTTGTATAGATTTTAAAATAGAAAAATATATTTACAATTAAAATGAAATAAAAGGAGCACAATGCATTTTACATTAAATTATAAATACCCTAAAATAATTTTTAAATTTTTATAATTATTTTTATTTTTATCTTGTATATATTAAAACATTTTAATGCATGGATTGAATCCAGTTTAGAGGAAAGCATAATCCCGAAGAAGCAGTCGCAGATGATTGCTTGCATAATTAATTAATTATTATTTGCTTCAAAATAATGGTAATGTCGGCGATCAAAATGAATTAGTAAAGGATGTGGTGTCCAGCCGCCAAGTCTTTAACGTGCTGCTTTTTGCGTTTAGAGAAGCTGATCACATCACCGGCCTGGGCTGCTTATAATAATGATGACAAGTTGATACAGTCGTGGCGTTTGGTAAAGTGGGTAAAACGGCATCCAATGCACGGAGACGCCGTTATGCTTTGTATTTGCTTTTGAGAAAACATAACTTTTCATCTTTTAATTTTATTAAATTTTATTTTTAATTTTTATAACTTTTTTAATATTTTCAATTTCTTAAATTTTAAAATCTTGGTTTACATTTATTTTTTAAGTCCTCAAAATTTTTATTTTTTTAAAAGTGATTTTAATTTTTATAAGGATTAGAAACAATTAAATATTGAAAAAATTATAAGAATTAAAAATTATGTTTTTTTAAAACTTTTTTGCTATTATTATTTCTTCAAATTATGGGCCATTCCCTGACCATTTTGTATATTTTAAGTCTCCAAGATAATTATCGTCCTTTAAGCCCTTTTCAGTTAGATAGCTAACTGAGTTATAAAAGGACGCGGGTAGTGTTTTTTTTTTTTTTTTTGGATTTAATGACTAGGGGACTGAAACTCCTCGTTGAATACTTGAATAAAGACCCCAGGGTCCCAACCAATTTCTGGTATTTTGAGCACATAGATGGCTTCCGGGTGGGATTAATTTTATAAAATTAATAACAATAACACCGAATTATGAGGTATTTTTGGAAAACCATGTTATTTATATTCTAGACAATAAGAACATTTCAAATCAAATAAAATAATATTTCATATGTGGATCACATGCATCTCTTTTAATTATAAGAAATGCATGGATCTTTTTTTTTCCTGAGGTTTTTGTATATATAGCCTATGTTATAAAACTAAATCAAGTAAATAACTTAACATTTATTATATTTTATATTATGATTAGTTTATTATAGTTGTTAATAGTATATTATTTTATATTAATGATAGACCTTTTATAAATTTTTAATAATAAACCTCTTATATATCAATGTGAATAGGTTACACTCTCAAATTTTTAAAAATGTGTTTCATATTTTTTGGGTATAAGATTTTTTCCAATCAATGAGCCGATTTATCCCTTTCTTTTTTCCCCATCATTTTGAGAGAGATTTAAAATATTTTAAAAACTTGAGAAAATGCTTTAAGATATATATATATATATATATATATATAAAGAGATGCACTCCATACATCTTAAGAGATGGATGTCTTGGAAACTCTATTTAACTATTTAGAATACAAGGATAAAAATACTCACGAAATCGTTAACCAGGAACATCTAGTGGCCTCAAGTGAAAAAAGGAGTAAAAATACTTATAATGTTACTTAAACTGGTATAAAAGTGATCAATTTATCAAATCTCTCAAATATTAACCATTTAGCTAATACTTTTGTTGTTGACCTTTTTTTTTTGTCAATGTGGACTAAAAAAAAAGCAAAAATTGTCAACCAAAGATATCCGATAGCATAAAGTGAGAAAAAGGATAGAAATATTTATAATGTTACTTTAGTAGATGCAATAATGATCAATTCGTTAAATTCTTTAAACGTTGACTGTTTAGCTAACATGTAAGAAGGATTTGACCATTTTTTCACTGATGTTAACAAAAAAAATTCCCAAATAAAATTGTACGAAAATTGATTGGTCATTATATGACGATGAGTCTCCACTTGAGACTTTAGTTTTGACATCAGGAAAATGTCATTTTGATTGAACAACAAATTGAATTGCTCGCTTTTTTAAAATTCTTGTGCCATCAAAGCTTCTTTCTAATGATCCAAATCGATAAAAGAAGTTCCCTACAACTTAATTTCCTTTTCAACTTCATTCACAACATTGCATCTATATCTGGCCAATTCAATGCGTAGTTGAAAGAGTTCTAAAAGATCGTGCTTAATCATAAAAAAGTTCTCTAAAAAGCTTTTGCTTAAGAAATGTTTGAAATCTTATTAAGGGTATCTCCAATGGAAAGAAACTAGATGGCATAAATTTTAATAAATTGATCGCTATTGCATCTATTAAAATAACATAATAAGTATTCTTATCATTTTTCTCACTTTAGACGGATATTCCTAACTAATGACTTTATGAATATTTTTACTTTTTTTTCAATCCACATAAGCAAAGAGTATGATTAACGTCTATTTAGATGCTAGTTAAATAATTAACATTTAAAAAATTTAACGGATTTATCACTTTTATACTAATTTAACTAACATTATGAATATTTTTATTTTTTTTACACTTTAAATCACTGGATGCGATGACTTCGCAATATTTTTGTCCCTTTATTCAACTATTTATTGAGGAGAACATAAATGACATGACACTTCAGCAACATCTAATAATTTCTCTAACAATGTCGCTTCAACTGCTCCCTCGAAACTTGATGGCTTGACGTAATTCACAATGAACTCGTCAACCTATGATGAATAAAACGAAAATAGGAACTATTCTATCCTTCATCGTCCTTGAGTTGGTAGGTTTCTAACTAGCATGGGTATTTTTCCCATATGCTATCAATTCCCCATAGCAATCTGTGACCAACGCACACTAAACTCCACAATAGATAAACTACTGAAGCTCTCAAAATATATGTACATAATAACCACAACTTTTTCTACCACTGCCTAAAAAGCCGTAACTAGCAGTTATTTCAACAGCAGAAATTCCTTTACTTTCTACAACTATCCCTTCACTTCACCTCAGCTAAGCCCAGCAGATCCTTAAATGTATTTTCCCTTCCATTCTACTCGATTGTCTTTCTGTGCCTATAATCCTGTACACAGCTTGTAATGTTTCAACTCGATCCGTTATAAAGTTAGAGCATTGAGCTTCTCCTTCTATGATCCTCCAGGAAAAGTTGTATCTCTATGGGCACGTACTGAGTTTTCCAGTGATTAATGATATCACCAGTACAATGAAACTTAGAAAAGGCTTCAGACCGGCTGAATGGGATGAGGACGTGGTATTTACACCTGGAGGACTTTCGTACCCGTAAAATGGTGAGGTACCTGCGCCAGACGCTGAGCTGCCGCTGGAATTTGACACTGAAGGTGGGGTACCATAGCTGCAAATGTTGTTAACGTACAGGAAAGGAATTAGTATTGTTGTTAGCATTGCTTTGACAGCTTAAGCTTTTCATGGGATGAAATGGTTAACGATTAAGTGCCAAGAATTCATCCTCACCGTTTCGAATCCATGATTATAATCATATTTCAGCTTTTAATACTATTAAAAAAAATAAGAATTCTTCCACAAAATCTAGACAGCTAATTTACCCTGATGTGTCTGTCCCCGGAGATGATGATGTAGTTGTTGTTGGCGATGATGGCGTTGGGGTTGACGATGAAAGAGAAAGAGGATGAAGGGAGAATGCAAGAACCCGAGCCTGTTTAAAATTAGGAAAGGGCATTTAAAACTAATGTTCAAGAATATTAAGCACGTGTGATAAAAAAGGCTGGTTAATAAGCACTTAAGGCATCAAGATCTTACTTGGATTTACGTTAACTAGGGTGGCAGTCCCTCCAAAGTCACAGCTTGTTGGTGTTGGATTTTTTTGGTAGTAGCTGTTGAAGGCATAGGAAGCATGGTTTTCAAGAGAATTTGGATTGTAACAACTCCCACCCTGCTGGATTTGTGAACAATCTGCACCACCCATTCCACAAGCATAGTCAAGTGCTGATTGAAGAGCAGCCTCTGCAGCTCCAGTCTTCGCTACACACCAACTCTGCCCTGCTGTGGCCGGAGCATTGCTGTTTGCAGGAGGTGGAATGGAGTTCACCGGAGCAGCTCCTGATGGGGGTGGATAATATGTTGCTGGTTGTGCCCCCGGAACTGTTATCGGGGTTGTGCCGGGATTGGTTGGATTTGTGGGAGGCAATGGCACAGAGGTGGTGGAAGGAACTTGCACAGGCATTGCAGCCGGATTGGTGGGGGGAGCAGGAATGGAGGAGGGAACTGTGATTATGGTTGGTGTATCTGGGGGTGTAATCACTGGTGCTGCTGATGTTGGATTTGTGGGGTAAACCACGTTTGGCGGGTTGGTTGTGTCATCTAGAGTTCTTCTGATGTGGATTTTGCTTAGGATTTCTCTGCGGGACAAAGGAAAAATCTCTTCCACTTCCCTTTTGGGTTCTTCATGCTCAAAAGCTTCTATTGCACGTACTTCTGCATATAATGCAATTGCTTTACCATTGACCTTAGTGCTTGTTGCTTCAAGATGTTTGGATACCGTTTGGCTAAATTGAGCTAGTTCCAATGAACTGGGAATTGCTGGGATTTTGATCGTGAGAACCAAGGGAACATCTATGTGAGGAAGGATAGAAGCAGCATGAGCAGCTCGTTTTATAGCAGACTGCACAAAACGTTCCGTTACGCTTAATTCCCCATCAATGCTGTCTTCTATCATGACAAAGGAATTTGTTTCCTTTATAAATGACAGAATCCTATGAAGATCATTCTCGTGTGAATCTTTCCACTTCTCTAAGAATGGCACAGGAAATGCAACCGAGACCTTCACTTCCCTGCCTAGATGAAGCTTACTGAGAACTGAATGAACAGATTTCAGAACAGAAACTAGTAATGGTACCTCATTGTGGCCTAAATTCCCACAGCTAGCTATGACGCTTTTGATTTCAACTTTTGGGAGAAAATCTACAACATGGGTTTTCAGCCACGAAACTGCAGGTGGATTTGAGCGAACCAAAGTTTTTACGAGGTTTTCATTGAGGTAGAAATCAAGCGACTCGTGGGAATTGGTGAGTGCGCTCAAAGTTCTAGGATCCGTGACAAAAATTCGAATCTGAAATGGTGCCACTTTTTGTCTGAGGAGCGATATGGTCCCAGCATCCCCTCTTTCACGATATGAAAATCCCACAAGAGTTCCTGTGAAGATCTAAAAGAATATCAGAATCTGAAGATCCTTAATTTTTTTTTCACTTGAATTTAAGCAATCTCAGCTTAGTGATAAAAGATTCATGGGAAGTTAGAACATCTTGATAAAGCAACAAAAAGCAAAATCGATACAAGTGGTTCGTCCGAAAATAACAAGATTCAACAAGTAGACATTGTTAAGTAGGTGAACAGGTTTCCCGTAGAACTCAGAAACTAAAGAAGACAAGAAGAAACGGTTAACTCGGAAAAACTAAAAAAGCAGAATGATATCAGAATCAGTTACTCACCCGAGCAGCAGAAGAGGAAGAGATAAAGAAAGAAGAAGCATAAAGTAGAATGGTTGGCCATTGCAAGAGAGGGAGAGCGGAATGTAGAAAGACTCGTTTGTAATTAATGTGATTGATACAGCTTGAGAGTTTTAAAGACACGGATCAATCAAGTACAAGTAAGAAGCGCAGGAGGAGGGAGACAAAGGTGGGGAGTGAAAAGGGGAGAAAAGGCGTGGAAAGAAGGACAGCCAAATTGGAATGAAAAAGAAAGGATGTTACTTTGTCATGAAGGATGGATGGGTATGGAAAACGGTCGTCTTTAGAGAGCAATACCAAACATGAAAGAATATTGTAACTTGTTTATTTTATTTGCTTCTTTATTTCTCCAACGACCGTGACTGCAAAAGTAAACGTTGCCTCGGTTTCCACGTGGCAAAATACTTATAAGATGTTTGTTTTAATTTTAAGTGATTTCATGTTTTATAATATAAAATATTTTTCAAAAATAATGATTCATTAATGGAATTTATTCTAAAATTACTCTTCATTATTAACTTCTTAAATCTTTCTCTTATTAAATAATATGTATTTCATAAGTTTATATTTTTTTTGGAAAAAAAATAAGATTCTAAACTATTAAATATTTCATTAGTATTTACAATTTTTTTTAAAAGGGTATTGTAAAATGAGACTTAGGAAATACTTAAAATGGTACCTTTGAAGTTTGAACACATGCCCTGTTTCTTTCACTGTCGTGAGCAGGGACATAATCTCGTGTTCTTTCCTTGTTTTTTTTTTTTTTCCATTAAAAAAATTGCCGGGTCTTCGGATCTCATGTCAATGCTCACCGCATTACATGATTTTAATTTGTTTTAACATTATTGCCCTCTGGGTTATTTAGCTGCCTATACAAACCCATGTCAGAATAATATTTTTTAAAGAAAGATGACACTTGATGGTTGCTAAAATAGTTAGGGCCACTTGTGTTGACATTCAGTGCGAACCCAGGATATTTAGTTGTGTACATGGGGAATAGAGGGGCCGGAAAACAGTTTTTGCTTTATATGGAATGAGATGAGATCGAAATGTAGACTGTCATCACAAAACTCGGATTAGGACGTAGGGATATAAAGTTAGGGGGATAGTGTTAACTGTTAAGGATAACATCAGAATCAGAATCTTAGGGGAGCAAATATCATTAGTAAATAATAACCAAGTAAAGTGGAAGACAGACATGGATGAAATGGAAAAACAAGCGACGATGCTGACAAGGACAAAACAATTTAACCCTGGTTAATGCAGTGCAATGTAAATTTCATCAGTGAGAGTGCAATAATTTCAAGTAGGATGAAAAAATAGGTTGCATGGTGGGTGAGAGGGAGAAATTGGGGTAGGAGGGCACGTTGTAGGTGAGGAGTGAGATAAAGAAAAGAATCAATGGTAGGGACAGACAAACCATGTGGGAGAGGAATAATGTATTCTGCTTCGCTGATTTCATGTTCATAATCAAAAGCACGCTCTAACCAGGTCGCCTGCCCAAAGAATAGCATTATCAGCGCATACGGAAATAATGAAAATGGTGATAAGGTAGATGCGATGCATTGCATTGCATGTTAAAAAAAAAAAAAAAAAGTCCATACTCTCATCCTTATCATTAACACAACAGAGAATGGGAGAGCAGGGAGCTTATCGACAAGAACAAGAGCTTTTGCCATAAGATACATCCCATAAAATTCGATTCGATATGCTCGGTGAAGTGTTTTATTTATTTATTTTTCTTTTTTCCCAAGTAACAACTGGGTTGAGACACCGCTTTAGAGAAACTGGCAGTCAACAGTACCAATAAGTAAGCTTTCACATGGGCAATGAAATAAACTAATAAAGTATTTGGTGCAGATGGCGGGAAAAGGGGATTCAAAGGGAAAAGGCAAGTGGAGCGAGATCAGCAAGAGGTGTAAGTGCACAATGCCACACAATGACACGATCACAGTGCAAACATATCATGCGAGATTCGGTTTACAACATATAAAGCACAGTCAGCTTATCAATATTAATCCTTGATCTACAATCTCGCCTCCTTTATATCTCCTCTTTTCCTTAGCAGCCTCATCTTCCTTCCCTCCCTTTCTTTTTTCTTCGAGGTCATCTGATACAAAATCTAAAATATCTAATTAGATAAGGCCTTTAACGTCACTCTCTTTTCATGTCATCAGTCATAAATGACGACAGTTCGGTAACAAGAGCCGTACTTGATATTCAACTTTTATATACACACTTTTACCAACTCCAAAAACCAAGGGTGAAACGCCAAAATTTACATACTTCTTGCTGATCACGTCTTTTCTACCTCTGTCGTGCGTAGCTTAAGTACCATCCACAACCAACAAGTCATCGAAGAAAGAATCGGACATTGCTTCCTTGGCTGAATTATACTTGTCCAGGCGTTTCTTCAAGGAACGCAGATCTCTCTCATTCTTTGAAGTACGTTCCTGAGATAACATTAACTTCATCAAATTCTGCCGTCCTGACATTTTTATTATTTTGACCAATTTTACATCTCTTTTTTCAACCCAGGAAAAACAAAATCCAAATCATTAGACTAGTATGTCTGATGGTAAAAATATGCTCACGCGATCAGGCATGCCACCCAAAAGGAAAAAGTAATTCTAACGAGATCCTGACAGGATGCAAAGGTCTTGCCGTGTCGCATGCATGAGTGCAAGGATGGCAAATAGTTGCAAAAAAGTGAAGACGACTTACAAATGATTTCTTCGTCAGCAGTATATCGACCAAGTAGATCAACCACAGCACGTTTGTTCTAGGAAAACTGAATTAGAAAAGGCAACAAGGTTTTAATGTCTAGGAAATTCAAATAAAACGGAAACAAAAATCTCAGACTCAAGATTAATGTCATAGAGTGAATATATACAAATACAACTCTTATTAGCCTGCAGACAATCTGAATAGCGGAAGAAATAAATGAAACTTAACCACAAAATCAATCTATTAATAAAGTTCTCATTTATCAACTAGTTCTTCATTTCCAGAAGTCCATGCTTTAAAGATAAACGAAAATGCACAAGAACATTACCTTCCTTCCCACCAATCTTCTGTTACCTCCTTCATCTTCCTGTATGTTTCTGACTGCATTTGATAGTTTCAATCGTTTAATACAGTTATATAGAAGTAGGAGTGTTCAAATTGAATCAAACCAAACTAACCCAAATCAATCCAAAATCAAACATAATCAGTTCAGATAAGTGAAAATCGAACCAAGGAAATTGGTGATGAATATATTTCCAAAAGCAATTAAAAATAAACCAAGTAATATGTGAAAATCTCACCCCACTAAAGGGGCTAAAGAATGGAGGTGTTTAAACTTTAAACAGTAGAAAAGCAACAGCGACAGAAAGAGCTTAAACGTATGAATAAAATCCAATAAAGAATGGACGTGCTTTTCTACCACGGTGAATTTTGAACATACAAATCAATGAAAAATCAAATTACACAGCACAATGCATATTAAGCAACAATCTTATACAACAACAACAACAAACTTATCCCACTAGGTGAGGTCAACTACATGAATTGTACGACGCCAACTCTATCATTTATTAAACTTTTAGAAATATTATTAATTAAGAGGTCTTGATCAATAATTTTCAAAAATGTTCTCTTTAGCTTTTCTCTATCCTTCCTAATAGGGCTCAAAATTATTTGTTCCACTCTCCTCACAGGTGCCTCACGTAGTTTTCTTTGTATATGTCCAAATCACCTCAAACGATTTTTTACCATTTTTCCTTTAATAGGTGCAACATCCACTTTTTCCTGTATGCGCTCATTTTAGATTTGTCTTTACATGTATGTTCGCACATTCATCTCAACATTCTCATCTTTGCTACTTCAACTTTATGCTCTTGATACCCCACTAAAACCCAACATTCACTACCATATAACATTGTCGGTCTTGTAGCAATTTGATAAAACTTTCCTTTAAGTTTATTAGGTACCTTATAAATGCAAATAACTCCTTAATCTTTTTCTAATTAAACCACTCAACTTGTATCCTATATGCAATGTCTCCATCAATTTTCCGATTCTATAAGAAACAATCTTACATAAGAACCAAAACAAAAAAGATTTAAACCAAAACTAACTTAACCATAAAACCCCGAAAGTTCTTTTAGCAAAAGCCACATAGTCGATTTGGATTAATTGGTCTAAAACCAAACATTTGAACAGTCATAAGGAATCCTGAAGATACTTATGACTTCAACAAAAAATCCTGACCTGTTTGTCCCCTTTAGGACCTTTAAATAGATCGGGATCTGATGAAAGATCCAAGAAGTGTACATCATCGCCTGTGAGCATCATAGGGCACAGTCAGCGAATGTAAGACACCGTCATGATCCACTGAACAATTAAAAGCACAATGCCTTAAGCGTCGACCTGTGTTTATTCGCGACAGAGTGAAGTCAATAATAGATATGATCAGTCCATATGTTTTAACAAGCATGTGCCTGCCATCAAGAGTGAACTGCAATGCCTTTGAGTCGCTTCGACTTAAAAGAATGTTTCCCCTGTGCAATTGCAAATTATAGATTACTTATTAAACAAAAAAACAAAAATTGCAGAAGTAGTCATTGACATCATGATAACCTCACCAGTGAAGATCTCGATGTTCAAATTCATATGCAGATTCAGCCACAGCAAGCCCAGCAGTGGCCTGCATTTTATGAGGGAATTGAGACGCATAGAAATAAAACCTTCATGAACAGGTGGTAGATGCGAACTTGACATGTAAACCGTACCTGAACTAGTAAACTCCTTGCCTCGTCAAAATTCAAAAGTGCAAAGCTTTCAAGATCCTTGCCACCATGTCGTAATACGAACACCACATAACACTGAATGCAGATTTTTATTCAGTCACTTAGTATATTGATCATATATCCACCCCTACAGACTGACCCAAAAAAAAAAAAGCAACTAAAGGCATGTCTCTGCTTTTCCCTTTCTGCCCCTACGTCCTGTCTTCATACGTTTGTGAAACAGAATAAGTATATCTGTGCTGCGCACAGAATTTTTTGTCTAAACACTCAGAAGTAAGATTGAAATGCATGATTTGGGCGCATAAAGTAAGATTATGAACCATGACAAGAAGTTGAAACCTCACTATCATGTCATTAAAAACGGTTGAAATGGGAAACCTGTTTCTCTGGAAACACTTCCGGGTGATCATTCTCTGAACCATGATTTTTATCCCAATTCTCCCATGCTTGAATCAATGAAGCATCGTAGGATCCTTGGCATACACTAAATCTGTCACAAAAGGCAAGTCGACATATATCTGAGTTCCACAGATTATTTACAATTACAACTGGGGCATAAATTAGTCTACATGCATACGAGACATCCCGATGATTATAGGCTGAGTTCAATCCTGCATCTGTAGTTCTACCATATCTTGAAAATTGACGAGTACCGCCAACATGGAAGACTTCAAGACCATCATTAGGGGGTCAAGTTGTGAAAGAGTAATACTTGTCCTCGTCAAAGGTAATGATAATCAACTTAAACGTTACGAACTAGAATTATTTTACAAAACAAATTCCATCTTTAAGCACGCATATTTGTTTTTATTTAAAAAGAAGAACAACTCAAAAGCGAGCAAGAACTAAGAAATTTTCTTTCCTACGATGTCTGATATGGTTGTAACAAAGTAGCATTTATAAATCGAATCAAACACTCACTTTAATGTTTCAATGAATATTCCGCAAGAATTATGAGCGTCTCCATCATTTTTCCTCAAATAGTTCAGCGTTTTCGAAAGAACCACCTCCTCCAGCAGTTCTTCTGATCTCTGTAGTACAGAAGCCATATATAGTTAGTAACGTAAGAACACTAATAATTTACTCAGTCGATGGACACAGCATCTTCTCAAACCCAAAACATAAACAGGGAAAAAATATATATATCACCTCATTCAACTAATGGCTACCCGCAACGCTTGCCAATCTAGTTCATTAACAATTAATTTACAGTGATTGTTGTCAGCTCGTTCATCAAATAGCCTTACTGCAGTAGGGCTAATATAATCAATATCGATATATCAATAAATACTACTGAAAGCCATACTGTTTACATAATCGTAAACAAGGTGGCTTCTAATTTCCGTGAAATACAAGGGCTGAGATCTATCTATATTTGGACAGCTAATTCCAAGAACATTATGAATGCAAGAATGCAAGAGTTACCTTTTGAACTTCCCCATTCACTCTGAAGTTCCCGTCAATAGGAACAATTTTACAAACGTAGCTGCCAATCTTGAAAGCTTCTCCATACGTTCCTTCACCAATTTTGACGATTGTTTCAGGATCACTGGAAGTAACAAAAATTATTCCTATAAGCATGAGGATGTATTACCACGTTCAAAGAAATAATAACTTGTGAAAAACTCAAAGTCATCATCGTAATTTTAAATTACAAAGGTCCTCTACATTAAACTAACAACTAGTTATGCCATGCTAATCTGAGGCAATATTACTTGATATTTTTTTTTTCTCCAAATAACAGGAGGGTATGGAGAATTTAATTCAATTAGCAATCTAAGTTAAAGCCTCAAACCGTATGCCTTACATCATGGCAAAGACGCAAGTACAAGTTACAACCAGAGAAAAAGGAAATTCACATTAAATTACGAGTCCCCTGTGCTGCTTAAGAAATATGTGAGCGTTTAATCATCAAGGTCAGAAAACTTGACAGCCTGTGAAGTGAAGGGAAATGTTTTGCTTGGTGGGGGGAAAATCTCATAACATCACAATTAATTTATTGAGGGAATAACTACTACTTAAAATAAAGCAGCTTAAAAGCCTGTATTGTAAGACAAAGAAAGCAACAGGCTGCGCCATAACATGAAACCCAAAGACTAAAACCAAATAATATAATTAAAATTATGCAGTAAGGAGCAAAATGCAAATCCACAAGCACATGATTTTTGCTAATCTTGGACAACCATAAGGTACGATGGTATAAGGAACTAGGAAACACACCAATACTCAGATAGCACGTCTTGAAACTTCGAGGGCACAGACTGTCCACATATTTCCAATAAAGCAGCAAATGGACTAAAATGTTCATCTGCCAAAGCTGATGACGATGTCAGTGAGAGCTTCTTAACAGCAGCTTCTAAATTTGCAGAATCTTCATCATCTTGAATGGACATTTTATCAGTTCGCAAATCGATGTCCGCCTCAAATAGACCATTGTCGACAATAATACTTCTGCCTTCAGTGATGATTGTATGAAGATGTGGATCAACTTCCGCAGATTTTTCAGAAGTTCTTGGATCTAAACAAAAATCAATATCATAAATAGTCTCCAATCCCCTGGCTGGAGTATCTAATATCTTAGACAGCGTGCTAGAAGGACCACAACTGAGATTCAATTTCCTGGACAGTAACCATTTTTCTAATCTTGAGCATAGATGAGGCAGTTGACCATTATAATTTTCATTGCCTAGGGTCCATGTACCAACTTTCTTGGGCGAGGGACTCTCCTCTAACAACTCAAAAGCATCAACCTCTTCAAAGTATGCTCTCTCCTTCTCAAAGTTAGGATGTGCTACCAATTTTCCCTGCGAATAACAAACAAATAGGTGGCTGAAAATGGTTTGGATCTCTTAGAATACATGTACTACGGAGTCTTCTGAAGTTCAACATTACAAACATACAATGCTTCCTGAATTAATGAAAATGACTCAGAAAATTAATTGAAAACGCAGCTGCAACAAGAACAAAACAAAATGCTACACTATTAAGATCGTCATGCAAAATGAGAACAAGAAGCAACAAAGGCATACTTTGGGAAGAGCAGGTCTTCCTTTTCTTTTTTCCTTCTTTAATTCAGGCTGATAAACCATACAAGCTCCAACAGCTATACTTGTCCTCCCTCTGTTTAAAAGAATTCAATAAATAGAAAATGAACCCACAGTTAATAACATAAAAGAAAGAAAAAGATAGGCAGAGGCAATCACCACCTTAATTAGATACTCACTTTTAGAAGGTCAAATGATCTACCTTGTGGAAAGAAAAATGTAAGAGCGGAAACTACAAGCAAACCTTGTCGAAAGAGATCGATTCCAACTGACTCGCTTGTTTGGGTCGACCAAACTCACGCGATTCGCAGGCGGGCGACCGAAATCAGAATGCTTTCTGGGAGCATTGAAAGACAAAAAAAAACAGTTTAGGACACGATATAGAGGAAAAATCAAGAGAAATGCAAAATCAGGTGGTCAAATGAGGAAACGTGGAATTACAAGTTCAAGTCCTTTTGGTTGTTCTGGGTTTTTCTTCTTCTGTAGACCACCTCGATTTGTTGCTGCTGCTGTTGTGGTGCATCTGCACCTACGATTTTTGACCATAAATCAACCGAACTTCCCCCTGGAAAATACGCACCCAAAAATGAAGAGAGGATTTGAAACTGAGAAGTCAGAACATCGGAAAGCGAGGACTTGCTATCTCCATACCTGCCTTGGAACCCATTGCTTCACTGCAGTCGGACTGCAGTTAGCAGAGATCGAGTTGAAACTTGAAAACCCCCCTGGCGGGATTAATTATTGAAAACGTCCATATAAAAATATTTTCATTTTTTAACAAAGAACCAGACAGGAGAGAAAATTCGTCAAGGCTAATTAGCAGTCTTGAAATTTTTAAGAAGCTAACTTAATTTTTTAAAATTGATCTTATATAAAAAATTATCAATATCAACTTCATAAACTTTTATCCTCATCTTAATGATCTCTTTTTAACATTTCATTAATGTATCTGCCCCCTTTGAATAGCTATTGAATGTTCATTAAACAAATATCTCTTAAATGTGAAATCCTTCCTTCCCTCAAGCCAAAATTCGAGAAAAATATTACCCTGCGTCAAGTGATTTTCATTGTGGAAATTTCATTTTTAAAATAGGATGAAAATTTAGTTCTTTCAAAAAAATTAAAGTTCATGAATATTATAGATCTTGAACTATTACTCAAATAATATCATAAAATCTAAACTTTTAAAGTGAGCAAAAAATCTTCTCAATCTATAAATTTTGAATAAATTACTCCTATCATTTATCCACATAATATTGACCATTATATAGCCCCACTGTTATGCAATGTGTCAAGAGAGGATTAGTGCCAAATTAACATTTGATTGAGTCCCACAAAATCAAAAATAATGGCAATTATATATAACTTAATGGTAAAAAATAATTTATAAGTCAAGGAAACCCCCTCCTAGCATCCACATCCTTATTGGGTCCGTTTGAATTTTAATTTGTAACGGACGTCATAAAGTAAGACTTAATCATCATACAAACCATGGTTAATCAAGGACTAACCCAAATGGATTATACAATATGAGATTAACCTAAATGAATTCTTAATATGTATTTATTTTTCACAAACTATTTAATAAAAAGGAATTCCAAGTCTTTAAAATATTTTAAGAACTCATATCATTCAATTAAACATATGTGGAAGCATGATAATAACTATTTTTACTTGCACAAATATTTTGACCCATTAATATAATACAAGCATCAAAACACAATCTCAAAAGCCCAAAATACCTTTCCATCCTACACAAAACCCATAGTGCAAATGGATCAAGAATATATTATCCTAATTGACAATATCATAAACTAAATACACATAATCATTTATCCACATAATATTGACCATTATATAGCCCCACTGTTATGCAATGTGTCAAGAGAGGATTAGTGCCAAATTAACATTTGATTGAGTCCCACAAAATCAAAAATAATGGCAATTATATATAACTTAATGGTAAAAATAATTTATAAGTCAAGGAAACCCCCTCCTAGCATCCACATCCTTATTGGGTCCGTTTGAATTTTAATTTGTAACGGACGTCATAAAGTAAGACTTAATCATCATACAAACCATGGTTAATCAAGGACTAACCCAAATGGATTATACAATATGAGATTAACCTAAATGAATTCTTAATATGTATTTATTTTTCACAAACTATTTAATAAAAAGGAATTCCAAGTCTTTAAAATATTTTAAGAACTCATATCATTCAATTAAACATATGTGGAAGCATGATAATAACTATTTTTACTTGCACAAATATTTTGACCCATTAATATAATACAAGCAAGCAAAACACAATCTCAAAAGCCCAAAATACCTTTCCATCCTACACAAAACCCATAGTGCAAATGGATCAAGAATATATTATCCTAATTGACAATATCATAAACTAAATACACATATCAACATAAAAGGAGAGAAGCCTACAGAAGTGATTATTATCACTTGACCTAATGCTCCTTTCCTCTGTTCTTCTCAGATGAGCTAGCTCCTATAATATGTTAAAAGAGAAGGGTGAGTACAATCACTCAGTAACCAAGGTATATCTAAGTTATACAAATGCACGATGATTAATCATAAATGCAAGTGACTAATAAATTTATCAAGGTGACCATTCAAACAATCACATTAATAACATGTTAATCACATTAACATTTAACTCATGTGAATAATTTCAAGAATAAAGTCAAGTATAAAATTTGCACAAATAGCCACATATACATTATTCGCATAATTACTACATGTTCTCATTTCTACAATTATAATCATATTCTCAACATAGCCATCAATCACTCAAATGGCATGATAATAATAATATGCTGATCAATCCCTTCCTTATATTCTCCCTTATTTCTTCTGACATGAAATCCGTGGACCAATAACCAGAAGGGATCATCCATGTGGTGAGACTACCCAAAACCTTAATCATATCATGAGGGGCTACCGGGCCAGGGTTACCTTACTCACTTATGAACATGATTTCTCCCAAATCACACACTATGGGGTGTCATACCCAAAACTAACTCTACCCAAAACTCCAAGTAGGCCAGTAGGGTCAAGTCCCTTAATAGGAACAATGCTACAATACCTTACAAGGTAAGTAGCGGCTATAACCCTAGGATTATTGGTTAATAGCCAAATATCATATGAATTTTATGTAATCGCTAACTCCTTCACTAAGGCGAACTCCCGCCATATGATCATATTAATAAAAAAAATGCATTTTAAAAAAAACTCATATATATAATTCATAATTTATAGTCAAGATTGTGCACATCATCATCAACATCAATCTCATTACTAATACCAAGTCGCAATTAACTTAGTCACAAATCATAAGGTCTCAACAAAGCCACATGCATTACAAATAACTATTTCAAATTTAGATATATATATATATATATTTTGTTTCACCACATGATTAATTAATTAATATACAAATGCATAAAATAGATTTCTCGCGGTTACCTCAACCTTTGAGAGATCAAAGGTTACCCTTCAAGTTACAACATTTCCAAAGCTTGAATGGTGTCAAAAGAAAATTAATCTACAATTGATTATATCCCAATATGTCAATAATATTATTAACACAATTTTCACTCATACTCTAACACCTAAGTATTTATTTTATTTTATTTTATATTTATTTATTTATTAAAGAAAATTAGTCTTAGTCTCTTGAATTTAAAATTTAATTTCATGTATTTGAACCTATCTACTTGGTTTAATAGTCTCCTTCACAATAATTTCATTCAAATATTTTTCTAATATCAAAATTTCTCTTTTATTCCAAAAATTCGCAAATAAAATACCAAAAAATTGCAAACTTAATTTCAAGCCTAGAATCATTATTCTATAGTCTTAATAATTTATTTCTTATCTCAAATAACCATCTAAATATCAACAAATTAATTTATATTTCCAGATGATAAACTCCAATGCCTCAAATTCCAATTCTATCAACAAAATAATACTCTAGAATATTTATTACACTACTAACAACCTCAAAACTATATTTATTCAACATAAATTCATTCCTCTTCCAAATCCTAAATTTTCTACCACCACAAAATCAGAAACCAAAGAGAAAATATGACTAAGAAAAATATTTAGAACACTTACCTAGTTTTAGAATATTTAAAATCTCATATGAAGTATCCTATTATAGAGCTTTACCTTTTAAATCAGTCAGCCTCTCCATCAATGTCGCTCGCTCTCTCCTCGCTCTCTGCCTCAGCTCGCGTACAGGGATGAAATGAAGAAATGAAGGAAGGAGGGTGATTTTATAAAAAAAAAAAAGTGGGTCCCACATGTTTTTTTCCTCTTCACTCTCTCTTCTTTTTTTATTATTGTTATATATATATGTGTCATGATTGCCGTGGGAGAGCACCGAAAGCGATTTCTTCTTCTCCTTCTTCTTCTCTTCTTTCTTTAGACATTTTCTTTTTTTTAAATAATAATAATAATAATTTAATATTTTTTTTAATTAATTAATTATTTTTTTAAATTTTAATTTAGAATTATATCCTGATTAGATTTAACAATTTCTTCTTCTAATTTGCTTACCTCTAAATTTTTTTTTAAATTTCTATTATCCCAAATTAACTATTAAAATTTAAATTAGAATGTTACAAGTTGGGTATAATAAATATATAAAATAATTAATTAAGTGGTAGATTTTCATAAGAATTGATTATGTTTATAACGCAATGTGTTTGGATACTGTTTTTTTAAAATTAATTTTAATAAAATTAAAAATATTTGGAAAATTTAATTAGAATTAATTTTAGTTATAAAATTAGTATACAATTTAATTCTTAACTATCAAACATTAATTTTTTGAGGATACAAAATTAAATTTTTATTAAGGGAAAAAAAGAGAGAAGAGAAGAGAGTTTAATTTTATTATTTATAAATTATGTGCTTTTTAATTTATAATTTTTTCGTGGGCCTTTTTTTGTAATTTTTTTTTCAATGTTTTTTGATAAACTTTTGGCTCGGGAAAATGCGCGTAATACATCAAAATCGATTTTTGTTCTTTTTTCTTTTTTCACAACCATTTAGGTAATTTCATTTTAAAAATTAATTTCAGGCACAAAAATCGATTTTGAAGCCAAACCAAACGGGCACATTCTAGTGAGAGAGAAGAAGCAATTTTAAACACCCATAGTAACACAACCCAAACAAAGAGAAGAAGAGAAGCAATTACTCATATAATGACCGATAAGGAAGAAGAGTACAGTGACAAAGAAGCAGTTTTTATAACCCAGAAGAAGCTAACGACTTCTAATGGGCTAGTTGGAGAAGAAACAAGCAACAGATTTTGAAGAGGACGGCGATTCAAAAAGAAGCAATTTTAACAGTCTGATTTTCTTCGTCAATCGAGAACAAGTCTCTTAGTTTATATATTTAATGTTTATGTTATCTTCTCCTCCTTTGCCACCTCAAATTCCCTCACTTCCTTCTGATATTTTTCTTGTTTTTTTTTATGTTTTCTTTTCCCTTTACCTTTACACGAAGCAGGCTAATGATTCATCATTTTTTGCCACGCAGGATGGCTCAAATATGATTCAGTCCTAAATCATGGATGACGAGGACAAACATATGAAAAATACAAATGTTAGGAACTGAATTGTGGAGCAAATTAAAAACTTAGAGATTAAGTTGTACTAAATCATACTCAAAAAACTATATTATAAATGAGTGAAATTATAAAACTAAACGATTATTTTTCTTC